ATACAACACTACTATGCGAACAAATAAACAAAGCCCCACAGCTGCACCACAATATTTCTCTATCCGTAATACATTTCTTTCAACATACTTTGCGAATCCCATATTTAGAAAGAGCCAAATTCAATATTCTCGAACTGCAATTTTTTTTTAAAATGGCAGCTATATCTACATATGTTTTCGTTTTTTGGGGTGGGGAAATACAAACCAGTGGGGCACCACCACAGATAAATTATTCACTCCAGCCTCGAGTAGTTATTCCAATACCATCAAATATTGGACTCATTCCTATGGAGTTAATGATCAGACAAGCAATGGGAATCAACATTGAGGACAATGTTGAGCTGATTGGAAGAGTGATAGTGGATGCTACAATGGGTAGCACACACTATCTACTACACATTGCGCGCGAAAGAGACTGGGAATACTTCATACGACAAACAATGCCAAACGGAGAGTTACATGTGTACGTTCAGACAGAAGATATTTATGGTGGCGGATTCGGAGTTAACGATGTCGATCCACCAGAAAAACTTCCATCTGAGTCAACAATGGTGGGAAGTTCATCAGAAAGTGATGCCACGTATCAACCTGATGAGTCCATACCGTCTGAGAGTTCAGGAAGTACGGACGACGAAGACATACAGGAGTCAGTTCCATTCGACTTCGATTCAATGAATGTAACTACTCAAATGAATCGAGGTCGGGGTCATCGATTGCCAGATTCTACGGTCCCGTCTTACCACTCACCGATACCACCTCCAACAACTACATTCGCATACGGCTTTACAGAGAGGGACGATGATGAAACCCTATCATACGACCCCTCCACAAATGTTATTGCGAAAGGAATGGTATTCCCGGATTTTCCGACGCTAAAAAAAGCAGTAGGAACATACAATATGCTGCACGGGCGGGACTACATCACCAACCACAAAAAAGGGCAAATTGGAAGGTCTCCTGTACACATTATACCTCAACACCATCTTGCCTGTGGACATTATCTGCAAAGAAGTTGCATGGGGCATCTACTGAATGAAAGGTCACGAAGTACACTCAGCCCCACGAGTGCACAGTTCAATTCAACCAGCAGCCCGCGGACAAACTGTGCACCAGCTCATTAATATGTGATTTGATCTTTCAAAAGATCACTGCGGATCCATAGTACAAAATAAAACACATCCAAGTGGATGTGAGACAACGATATGGTGTCGACATTTCGTACCGGAAAGTTTGGTATGCCAGACACAAATGCATTGAAATGCAATACGGGAATTATCGGCACTCGTACAATGAGCTACCACAATTCTGCCGGCTGTTGCAACTGTCCAACCCTGGTACCATTGTGGAAATCATGACCACACAGAACGCTGAAAGGGGTACAGGGTACGCGAATTTCTTGTATGCATTTTAGGCGTTCAAGCCGGTAATAGATGGTTTCCGCTACTGCATCCCAGTTATTTGTGTTGACGGTACCCACTTGTACAACCGGTACAAAGGCCATCTCCTACTAGCCTGCGGATATACCGCCAACAAGGAAATCTATCCACTGGCATATTCGATCGTGGACTCCGAAAATAATGCTAGTTGGACTTGGTTTCTTCGACTTCTGGCCGAAAATGTCTTTCCACATCACAATTCCATGTGCATCGTCTCGGATAGACACGCTGGAATCAATGCGGCGTTTAATTCCGTCGAACAATTGAAGGGGGGCCGTGTCAAACGCCGGTTTTGCCTAAGACACATTCATAGTAATGTCATGTCAAGGGTGACCAGAAATAGGCGGTTACGAAAACTTGTGTGGGAAGCTGGTACTGCTGTGACAAGGGATCAATTCCTTCAACACATGCAGGCAATCTAAATCAAATGGCCGGCTGCATACGCCTATCTTGCCGACATTGATGTCAATAAGTAGAAATTATCTCACGACGATGGTCATCGGTACGACATCATGACAACCAATCCGTTTGAGTCACTAAATAATTCACTAAAGTGTTGTCGGATGTTACCCGTCACGGCAATAGTCCGAATGACTTTTCACAAGTTACGGACTATGTTTGCCGACAGGCGTACTGCGGGAGAGGGGATGCAGCAACACGGCCTGCGATTCACGACAAACATTACCGATGATTTGTCAGCTCGAAACAATGAGGAAAGCGGTGCAAGCGTTCAACGTTACAATGACGCCCTCGGAATCTATGGTGTTGCCCTAAATACTGGTTATGTTTCCCAAAGTCAACAATATCACTTTCAAATGAATCTAACGGAACGTACGTGTAACTGCGGCTTGTGGAACGTCAACGGCTTACCTTGTGCACATGTGATTGTAGCATGCAATTACCGAGGGCAAGGATTCGGCCCATTAGTGCCAGAAGTTTACTCGGTTGAAAATTACAGGAACTGTTATGCCGGTAATTTTTACCCCGTAGACGAAAGAATTCAGTGTACCGATCCAGTTACTTGCCTTCCACCGATTTCTGCTAGGCTACCAAATGAACGAGGACAGCGCCGCACACGTAGGTATCCAAATGAAATGGACTTCGGTTCAAATCAAAGTAGAAGATGTACGTATTGTCGGAGGACAACTCATTCTTCCCCAAACTGTCCTACTTTGAATCATCAATAAAATAATGCTTTGTTTATATTTTTAATTATCCAATTTTTTCATCTAAATTCAAATTATAATATGAAGTATAGACACATACTGAGCATGAACCTTCTTCGGCAAAAAAAATATTATGAATACATTCGTCCGCATTTATTAAAAAAAACAAAAAAAACAAAATAAATTATATGAATACATTCGAACCTCAATGGTCCGAATGTATTTAAAAAACAATAAAAAAAATATAAAACGGACTCCCGAATATCGATTCTCTTTAATCAGAAAATCGGACTACACTACGTCGGTTTTCCTTCTCTGGGGTCCAAATATTCATTTACGCAATTCTTGTAACCAGCAAACCTATTTTGACCTTTCCGGTTTATGATTCTAAATATCCAGCCGTTTATCCCCTCCGGCGGGCACTTTTGCGGCGTAACGCCTCTTTTCAAAAGGCAAAATCACAATATTGAACTTCAAGTAGGATTATTGTGATTCCTTGCTCCCAAAACCATTTTATCTCATTGTTCTTTCTTTTAAAAGTGAATATTTTATTTAAAAAAAAGTAACAACACTAGGGTAGCACCAAGTCATGATGCTAAGACAGAACACCAAAAAGAAATCACAAAAGAGACCACAGAAACAAGTGCCATCTCGATACAGTATACACCATCTACTGTATTGGTTTATATTGTTAACACAAAAATAATAGAAAGTTGGACCTCTCATGGGTTATTTGCACATAACTTCAATAAGAGTTAATTCCATTTTGGGTCTTAGATTTATAGGTGACACTTGACAGTCCACTTTTTTTTTTTGTTTTTTTTTTTTTTTTGCTTTTTATTTTTGTTTTTTTTGTTTTTTTTTTTTTTGTTTTATCAGAACATCCACATTTAATCCTAGTATTATTGTGGCATGACTATTTTAGGTCGAATGACAAGTTCCAGACTTTATGCAATAAAATTAAGGATTATATTTAATTTTGTCAAATTTCATTTATGAAAAAAAAATTAATGCATTTTAGGTCAAATATAATTCAAGTTCATCCATCCTTTCCTAAAGTGGTCTTCTTATGTTTTACTTATTTGCCATGTGATAAACAAATTTATTGTAAAATAATTATATGTGTTTTTCATCTTCTTTTGACTAATATGTGAAACACCATAAAACCCTATCGATTCAGATTGATCGATGCTCTGGTTGAAAAGTTGACAATCTATGATCGATTGATCCGAAATGTAAATAGTTCAGACTCATTTTACAACTGAAAAGAAATCAACAAACAAATATTAATTCACTAAAAAAAATATTTCATTCCCTCAAAATTAAATAATATCTACTAAATTATATACCAAACAATGTTGTTAATGTTATAATAAGACCCTCCAACTATATATCAAAATGCAATTAGCCCCTCAAACTAAAAAAATATTCAATTAAACCCTTAAATTTGTTAAAATAGTGCAATTAACCTATTTGACCTATAATAGGATGTTACCTTCAAGTCAGTTGCCATGTAGGATTCCACGTAAGATGTCACGTCAATTAATATTTTTAAAATTATTTTTTTAAAAAGTAATTTTTTTTTTTGAAAACTTAAAAAAGTAAATTAATTATATTATTAAAAAAAAAATAGCTTGCCCAATGCCCAGTCTGCTGCCATGGCTTCTCCATGAACGTAACGGAGCTCCGTTCATGGAGAAGCCAGAATGCTCCAACTCCGTCGAACTGTCGCATTCGCTCCTCTGCCTCAGGTTTTTTTTTTTTTCCAGTCAGGAACTCCGTCCACTATTGCTAGTCGTGAGGTAGCAGTTCTTCACCGGCAAACATTCTCCTTCTTCGGCAAGTCTTGGATTTCTTCAAATCGGCATTTCTCCGGCGAAAGATTTAGACCGGTCTTCTTCGCTCTCCAACTTTGGCGAGGCCTCTGGATGGTTTTTTTTTTTTTTTCCTACGAGACTCCAAAGGGTATAGCATTTCTTGGTTGAGTGAGATAATGCTGGCCACGAAGGTGAAAAAAAAAACATAAAAGCAGTAAATACGAAGCTACTCTCCTTTGCTCACCTAATCACCTTCTTGCTCAGGCTGAGCAGTTGGCGGAAAGGCGGAAACTCAAGATTTGGGAGAACTATATTGACGGAGAGGAAGATTCCACTGGTCCTGCATGTTGTTGAAAGGAGACATAAGGAATTGAAGAGTTGAAGGTACTTGTTACTAAAGTCTTGGGAGGTAGGAAGTTCTATGTATTTGGACTCTATTATTCATATTAGACTAGGACTATATTATTCGTGTTAGACTAGGATTCTATCTAGCATCTTTATATATTCGCTCCGTGTACTCTCAGACATTATTCATTAAATACAAAAAATATATTATCATCTGGTATCAGCTAGGTTTATCCATGGAAAATGTCGCTGTTAATAACGGCTCTGTTCTTGGTTCCTCTGAACGGACTGTTACCGAGATTCCTACGATGCCTGCGAGTGGTAGCCTCTCATCGGCTCATCACTTTGTTTCGTTAAAGTTGACCTCCCGGAATTCTCTATTCTGGCGAACTCAGATGCTTCTGTTTCTTGAAGGCCAAGGGCTTCTAGGGTCTATTGATGGTTCTACACCCTTTCCGACGGCATCGCCGTCGCTGGCATCAACCGCGGACAGCGCCCTGGCGGTGGTTTCCGATCTCCCGACACGGCAGCTCGCGTGGCGCCGGCAAGACAAAGCCATCTTCTCCATGCTCATCTCCTCTTTATCCAAGGACACTCTTCGCTTTGCCGACGGCAAGGGCACCACGTGGCAGCTTTGGAAGGTAATCGAACAAACCATAGGTTCGTCTACCAGCTCTCGTGCACTCTGGCTTCTCGGCGAACTTCAGGGGCTCCGTCAAGGTGATTCCTCCATATCTGATTACCTTGGTCGTGCCCAGATGTTGATTGATGAATTGGCTCTCGCCGGTCGTCATGTTGAGTTGGATGATCAGAACTTATATGTGTTTCACGGTTTACGCCCGGATTTCCGACCATTGGTGGCAACCCTAGCCCGCGGTGGTCTTGTTCACCTACCAGAGGTTGTGGATTTTCTTGTTTCGCAGGAATGAACCTGTTCTGTAACACCCCCGATTTTCACCACATTTTAAAAATTAAAAGCATAGGCAAACATCTAATCATCAAGACAAAAAGCAACGGAAGCTAAATAAAATCAGGGCGAGTTATGCCACACCTATCTCAGACATAGGTGCACAGGCGGAAAAATCTAACAATTCAACAAAAGATAAGTATCTATGCTCACAGGCCGCTACACTAGGCTCACAGGCCAACAAGAACATAACGTCTACACAGGACAGCTAATCTATCTAGCGACCCACGTCAAGCGCTCTTAGACATCTAATCAAAACCTGTAGAACAAGGAAAATAACATGGGCATAACACCCGGTCAGCGAATATTGCTGGTAACCCATCAATACGAGTTACATAGCATATATATATATATATATATATATATATATATATATATATATATATATATAAGTATAAACAAAACCATTTTGAAACAGAATATAGTATATATCATTTCAAAACCCAAAAGAGAAGTCAACTTCAAAGACTCATCAAATACTCTCAAAAGAAAGAGGAATCACCATCCTCAAAACAACAACAAGGCAACAAACATGAAAGACAAACAACTCAGGATGCATTTTACTGATCACAAAGTAGAATACATCAAGACATGCTCATAAGCAAAGAATTCACATTTACACAGTGGCAACTACATGCCACAGTGACAACTACATGTCACAAGTATCATAGTTCCAACCTTATGCCCTGTTCCAACCTTATGGCTACCCCCTGCCTTATTTCGGTTCCAACCTTTACCTCCTAGTGCTACCCTGTACTTCTGAGTCCAACCTTTTCCCTCCGGGGACCGCCACCCCCACCGCCGATACTCCTATTCACCACCGATTTCTCAGTACACGAGGGTACCATTAAATATCATATCACAAAACCGCCAATCTCATGAGCAAAGCTCAAGTAACAAACCACCAATCTCAATCATAGTCACACAAGTTCATCATCATTACCAAGAAGACTAAGACTCAACAGTAGTTAATCAAGTATCAACAAAGGTGCAACGATTAACATACGATCATATCATAGGAATCAATCAAGAGATCACAATAAGGACATGAGACCAAACTCAACAACAAAGGATCACAATCCAACACCAAATTATTGTCAACACAAGTTGGCAATCTCGATACGAAGGAACAAACCACACACACTAGTATATCGACATCAAACTAGCATGCTTATCAAACGGGTAAACCAAAGGTAGTTCTAAAGATCATTCAAGACTCACAAGTAGACCAATGAATCACAAGGTTGGACCCTTAGCACGATTCAAGATACAAAATCCTACATGGATTCCTAACATACTGTTCTAGACATACGAAACATCAAGAAGACTCACAAATAGCCCAATAAAACAACATCAGGAGGTCTAAACATCAATACCGAGTCAAAAGAATCACGGGGAACAAATCTCCGCACATCACCAACTGTGTACCCCGCGGGTAGGGCCACGGGTGGACAACCACCCGCGGGTACATACACCCACGAGGCTGGTTCCCCGCGGGTGGGGTGGCGGGTAGGGCCCTTCGGAGATTTTCAACAACAAGTCCAAATTCAAGTCGAAAACACCCAAAATCTCACACACAACAATAATATGACTTGAACCCAAGAAATAGCCAAGCAATGGCCTTCATGAACCCTAAGAACAAGCTCTAAACATGCATCACCACAAGACAATGCATCAAATTTCACAAATCAACACAAGAATCACAAGTAGAAGCCAAGAAATCATCATATAGGTAAGAAAATAGGTTTTGTAAAGTATGGGTTACCTTTGTAGCCTATTAACTTCCTCTTTTCACCCTTAGAAAGCCTTCCCTAAAGCTCATCTTCTACACCAAATTCATATAAAAACCAAAACACAACAAAGACTCTAACTTTAGAAAAAAACACCTAAAAGGAGGTTAAAAACACCAAAAGACAAAGGATCTTACCCTCCCCTATGCTCAAGATGAAGAAAGTAGGAATCTTGGGAGACAAACTTGCAAGACTTGGATGCTCAAATTCTAGCTTGGAGAAGAAGCTAATCCTTTTAGAGAGAGGCTAGAGGTTTTTGTGTTTAGATTGAAGGGTGAATGAAATGAAAGAGTATTGCTAGGTTAGCTTGAATCACAAATCTTAGGTAGAAAGATATTCCTACCCTCAAATGTTGGAAAGACAAGGAGACGAGGGCACAACTCAAGAAGCACAAGGTACAACCGTTTCACTTAAGTGACTAGTCAAAATCTAGTCCCTCGACTATTAAATTTCAGGATTTTTAGGATTAGATTAGCAAAGAGACTTGGATTAATTCATTAATTAATCCTTGATTAGCGTTTGAATTTACGGGGTGTCACATCCTCTCCCCTTAACAAGAAGCTTCGTCCCCGAAGCTTGGGCACGACGAGTTTAACCAAACGGGTAACAACGAATCAACAATGTGACAATAGGAAGCAAGTATATCATTAAACAATACTTCAAGGGTTCACAAGGTGTAAAGTTTTCAAGAATCAGGAAAATGTAAGGTTTCAAAAGGTCACAAAAGGAGTTTCTCAAGCAACACCAACACTAACATCACCTTACAAACAGCTAGGAGCCTCCTACATCACACCTAGACTCAAAACAACTAGATTTTAATAAAGCAAAACAACTAAACCAACTACCCAAACAACAAACTAACCACCAAGGCAAACAGGAGAAAACAACTAAGCACAGCCAACAAGCAACAACTACAAAACGGCAACAACAAACGAGAGAAGAAACGAGCTTACCACAAACTCCGGGCCTAAGAGGACTCATCCTCCGACTCCTCGGCATCCTCGTCCGAGTCTTCCTCAGCTCCACCACGGCTAGAACCGGCCTCCAACCTATCTAACCTCTGGTTGACAGCGACAAACTGAGCCTTCATGAAAGAGAAGCCTTCCTCAATCATCCGATTCTGCTGATGAAGGAGGGTCACCACACGCTCCTCGTGTGTCATTGCATCATGCTCCTTTTTGGTTCTCATTTCCTTCCTCCTTACGTTCTCTTCACTTTCAGAGTCACTCTCCTCAACCTCTTCTGCTTCTCCTCCTTCTTCTTCCTCTTCTCTCTCTTCTTCGCCTTCGTTCTCAGCATCTCCACCCAAGCTCTAAACCGCTAGGTTCAACTTTCCAACAGGAATCTCAAGCTCTTCAACCAACGAACTCCTCTCGGCAGGGGCTTTCCTGGCGACCTCTTCAAGAGTGATGTAATCACCATCATCTAGCTAAAATAGGTTGCAACTGCGGAGATTCGTGGCATCCAGAACCATCTTACCCACCCGTTTAGACACACATCCTTCAACACTCACCCCTTTCCTAATGAAGATCCAGCTCAACACCATGCCATAAGGCAAACTCTTGCGGTTATGGTCTCGACAATAGACCATATGTTGCAACATCAACGCATGCAAGTTGAACTTCACCTTGTATTTCAGACAGAAAGCAAACGTGCACTCTAGCTTGCCCAACAAATGACTCTTATTGTTTTTAGGCAACAAACAGTCCAAAACGAGCATGCCCAAAATCTTTTGCTCGACAGAAAGCCACTTCCTCTCTGGCCTCGTGGCCTGAGTGAACTCACTAGCAACAGATAACTCTGATAATTCCGATGACTCATGCTGCTTGTCTCAATCCAAGAGTCACCACTATACTGTGAGACTCCCGTAGTTGTCAAACTCAAAAGTTGAGCCAACCGCTTTTCAGTCAAGACAATTTTCACACCTCCCACCTTAGAGGTAACTTCCAATCTTCCACCATCTTTCGTCACACTCATGTGACGGTAGAATTCCTTTACCAAACATGGGTAATTCTCGGTCCTAATGGTGAGATACCCATCAAACAACTCTTGGTAGTTCAACAACTCCAACAAAGAATTAGAAAAAGAGTCGGGATCAAAAGCTTTACCTTCCAAGACTAGGTAGTTGGCCTCCACCCATTCCACTCTTCTTGCAGATTTAGACCTCCTTGGCATGATTCTGAGATGTCCGAAGACCCAAGGTAGACCCAAACTTCTTCCTCTTTTCTTTTTCTCTTTTTCTCCTCCTTTATCTCGGCTTCTCGACTGGGCGGCGGCGATGACTGGCGAAGCAGGGCGGCTGACCGGCGACGACGGGCAGCTGGTCGGCTACCGGCGGCAGATGGGATCGACAGGGTGGGGGGTCTCTCTCGGCTGAGTCACGGGTAGGGGAAGGAGAAAAGAGGGAAGGGTTTTAGGAGAAATTTGTGAAAAAGAAGATTTTAATTTGGGGATTTATGGGTTAAGTTGGAAATTATTGGTTGAAAGGAATTTAAGTGGATTAAGGTTCAAGAAACACAGTTGGTTTAGATGGTTCAAGGGTTGGGTTAGAAATTTAGAGACTTGGGTTCGATATTCACTAGCTATGAAATAAAGTCTTTTTAACTAGTTAGGCTTAACTTAAGAGGTTTCCTTTATAATTGGCTATTCTAATTCTTAGGTTAACGAATTAGGCTTGGATGACACAAAGGAGTGAGGGTTGAATTAAATGTATACACACAAAGCTCCGGGATTAGAACTATCATTAAACCACTCAGAATGAACAATCAAATCACAAGGGAAAACTCACTCAAAAGGCAAAAGAGAATCACACAACAAAAGATATGGGAAAAACAAGAAAGGCACACTCTCAAGGTAAAAGGTAGGCTAAAGAAAGGTTACCTGTTGACTCTTCCTCCACCAAACCCTCAGTCTCAGCCTACGACCGACCCATCACGAACACTCTGCCCGAAAGCCTTGTCCCTGTCACATCTCGTCCGCAACTCCTTCCCGAAGGTCCGCTAGGTCTCGCACTGGATGGCAAGGCTCTCTAATTAGCTTGGGTAGGGCACTCGAGAGCTTTGTGACCCCTCTCCCCGCACTTCTTCCTATTCCTCCTGCTCTCCACATTCTTGCATTGCCCGTCTAAGCTTTTTGTTAGAGATCTCTAACTGGTCAACCAACACTCGTCGTT